AAAAATCCACATCAGTGGTTTTGATGCCACAACAAGGAATTACTGTAGCTGCTACACAAGCAGCAGCAGCAACAGCAGCCGCTGCAGCAACTTTAGTCACAACAACAACTACACCGCAACAAACACGTTGCTTTACAGCACAAAAACATCAACAGCAGCCAGAGTTAAGTGTGGAGCAGCAATATGAGGTAAGCAAGTGACGAGTGACGAAGAGTCAGGCGGAGTGGATAGAAAAATACGCATGCGTTGCTGTAGTGCGTAATAATGCAATACGCATGGCGCACATATATGTGTATATGTAATACATACCTGGCCAGCTGACGTCACGTCACGGCAAGCGCAAAACTAGCGTGCGAATGTTTACATATGCGAAATTTTGTGCGCCAGGCAAAACTAGTTTTTTTCCAGTGTTTTGTTTACGCACGCGAATGTTGTTTAATATATGTATTTTAATTTCGTTTATCAGGAATGTATTAGTGATCTGAATACGCTGCAATCGAACGCGATAACGATACGCCGCTCAATTCTGCTGAATAATAAACAGTTGCCATTAACTGATACGTACAAATATATGGAGCGAAGTGGCCTTAGTTTGGATGAATTGGAGCATATACCTTTCATACACGTGTCTGGCACTAAGGGAAAGGTGAGTAGAGAGCATAGAGTAGGGATGTTAATTTTTTCGCTTTTTACGATTCCGGGACTTTCGGGATGTCGTTACCACGATCCCGGGATTAGTCCCGGGATTTAGATATTCATTACTTTTCAACAACTTAAATCGAAAAAATTGCTTCTATCTCTCCTACCATAAAATAAATAATAAATAAATGAAACCTACTTTTTTATTTACAGTGACGTTTATATTTTTTCTCTTTGACGTCAGGATTTATTTTAAACGACTTTGTAATTTCAAAGATATGATTAATTCCAACAATTATTTCAAAAAATTCAATACAATAAAAATAAAAATATGGGTACCAAATGACAGAGGAAATTTCTTTAGAAATAAAACAAAAATAAATAAAATTTTTTGGATTCACAAGGACGAATAGGTACTTTTTTAAGCTGATAAAGTTAGGAGGACAAATTTCGAGGATTTATATAAGTCCTTAACATATAATTTTTTCAAAAACAAATATTGCGAAGTTTAAAGGATAAAATTTTAAAAGGACATTTTCAAAACTTACCAGTCCCTATGCACCAAAAAATTTAATCTGATTAAATTCGACAGAATTTTCTCTTTAATTTGATACCCATACTTCTTCTCTAAGCACATTTCACTTTTGAATTCCTGACGTCAGAGTGAAATACTAAAAACGGAAGTTTACTATATTTGGCCCATGGTCTCGCGAACATAATGATTTTTGTGTGTAATATTTACTATCGCTCGTTATTATGTATATGTATAATGAGCTAGACATTTATAAAAAAATATTAATTATTAAATAAAAAAATATTAATTATTAAATAAAAAAAGAAATATAGCCAACACTGGTCAAGAAAAGGAGTTTCTATTATTGTCATCAGTGCAAATTACAAATCCCGAAAATCCCGGGGTTATTTGCCAAGAATTCCGGGATTTTCGGGACCTAAAAAAGGCCGGGATCCCGGGACTAACATTCCTAGTACAAAATAACTATTTAGTGTTTTTTAAATAGAAATTTCTTTTATTTTTTTATCAAAATATTGCTTATGCTTTAACCAAAACCATATGATTCGAAATTTCAAACTTTATACAAAATTTAGAAAAATTTAACAAATTATCATCAAAATTTCGTACTTTAAATCTAAATCTTTAGAACAATTTTCGGTATGCAGTTTTATATAAAATTTTAATGTGAACACTTGTTTGAGTCAATGTAAGTGTGCATAAGTATGTATGTACATATGTAATGAACCACAAAAATAGTGTAGAGAATTTGTAGGCGGCAACGATCCGTCACTCTTTAAGTATGCACTTTGAGTCGTACTGGACCTTAAAATAATTAAGAATGGTGAGAGGCACGGAGACAACACTAATCAAGCACCCCAAAAGCAGCCTGCCAATAGTTCTTGGATATGGTTAAATGTATGTACATACACTTTTGATCAGCTGATTAAGTCACCAACATTTTGATCAATTTTGGCTATTTTACTTTTGTCTATTTAATTTTTATTATTTTTCCATAAAAGTCTAGCTCATTTTGTAACAAACACCAAATGGAATCCCCGCTACCAAGTTCATTCAGAAAGGATTGAATCAATTCAAAAACAATTCTTGCTTTTTGCATTGCTTAATTTTAACTGGGATTCAGATTACAATCTCCCCCCTTACACAAGTCGTCTAAAGCTCATAAATTTGCCTACACTCGCAAGTCGTAGAGAAATGCTGGGTATAATATTTATCGTAAAATTAATGACAGGCTCGATTAATAGCCCGGCCCTCCTGGCTGAGGTAAATTTTAATGTTCCTTCTCGAGTGTCAAGACACTTTCGACCTCTATTTTTAAAGCCATGCAAAACTAATTTTGAACTAAACGAATCATTCCCTGGTTTATGTCAAGATTTTAACTATCATTCCAGCACGTTTGACGTATCGGACTCGATTTTTACTATAAAGAAAACTATTATTTCCACTCTCAATAATTGAAATACTATCTATAGCATATCCAATCAGCTGATGAATTTGATTCTGTAGCTGAATAGTTTTAGATCTCGACACTTAACAAACTCCTGTTTCCCTACTCGGCACCAAAAAACTAAAAAAAAAAGGTTCCGTACGTCATGCGGACTGCGCCCCTCGTGTCGGTTGGGCGGGAATGGAGGGTAAAAAGCCGTTGGGATTAATTAATTAAAAAGTTCACATTTCAAACTTTGTGCAAAAATTATAAAAAGTCTGCAAAGTTTCAACTAAATTTTCAGCTTTTTATTCTGTTTTTTTTTCGAATTTTTTTTGAGTATGCAGTTTATTATCCCATTAACCCTCCGATGAGTGACAGTGCCGATGACGTTAGATTCGTGAGAAGGTCCTTAGGGACCTACAAAGAGTTGCTCGATGTTTCGACTGTACACGTGCAACTTCTTTGGTATTTATGTTGTCTTTTGATTAAATTAACGTCCTGCATATATATTAGGAATGAAATAATTTGAAGAACAAGTGAAAAAAAATCAAAACATGAAGACAAGTAACTTGTTATTTCTTCTAAAATTGTACAAGGTCCCAAGGGACCTTGTCACTAATCCCCGTACTATATATGTTGAAATCTCAAT